AATGTCGTTCGCGCAAAAAAATTGCTGTAGAGCAGGGGTCTCAAACTCAATTTACCTGGGGGCCGCCGAGACGGATCCTTAGTGAGTCCGGGCCGCATCAGGTTTTTCACAATAAAAGCATTAGTTAAACTTAAAAAGTTAAATCTTTTCCCCTGTTTTTCTATACGCAAAACATGTCAAAAACATAAATGTAAGTAATTCCGCGATGGACCTTTCCCCGAGCATCTACTTCCTTGTTTAAAAATGGCGTAACAATAGACTTTTTTGCAAACGCTCAGACACTTGTCACTCAGAAAGATTTTCAGGCATGTTTGTGAACATTACCTCGTTTTTGCATGCTATTTGTTAGTTTTGGGTTGTGTTTCAGAAATTCAAGTATGAATCAAAGAGCCCAATGATCATTCTGATTGCTTGCGCGTCATAGTTTAATTGCTGTAATCAAAAATTAGTCTAGAAATAGCTGTGATAGACTAGGCTAAACTTCTCTACCGGTACCCTACTGTTGAAAAACAGGTTGTTGAATGTTTTGAATCAAAATGATGACGTGAAACATAAACCCCAGTTTATAGGGTTAAACTCGCGAAGCCACCTCTAAAATAAGCACCAAGATTTTGCAACAGTAAGGTAAAAAAAATTTCTTTGGGGTCAAGGTCCATCGAGTAGTAGCCTACCGTACCGCATATTATCATATTATTTGGGAGATAAATTATAAAATATTTTGTTTTGCTCTACTTGTCCTGATCCTATATTAAATGCATCAATCATTCTAACTGAGCTGGGTGACTTACGGGCCGCACTGCATCGCACATTAAACTTTCATACCAAGGCGGGGGCCGCAAAGTATCGTCCTGCGCGCCGCAATTGGCCCGCAGGCCGCGAGTTTAAGACCCCTGCTGTAGAGAGACGGAGGTAACATCAATCTCTCTAATCTTGCATTTTCGATGCTCTACTTAACGCTACTATATAATTCTAATATGAAATATGGCACAAACACAAATGTACATGAGATATAGCGAGAACAAAATTACCGTAAATTGTCAGTCACGAAATATGACATGATTATAGTAGACAATAAACAAATGATATATGCATGTATATTCCAATTTTTTGATGTGACGCAAAATATTAATCCATTTTGTATTTTATTTCATGTATATAAACAATTTCTTATATGCCCGCATTTGATTATAAAAGTGGTTCCCAAATTAATTTGATATAAGTCGCGAAATATTAACCCATATCCTAAAAATTGTTTCTATGTGGGAACGGTCAGAAATAAATCGATAGAAATTGTGAAAATTAATTTTGAAAGTCATTTGTGACTTGCTGATATCAGACATTATATTCGTTTATATACACAAAGACAAGCTCACGTGTAGCATCGATTAAATGTGTATGAAATATAAAACTATTACTTGTCACAATTAGCTTAATAAAAACCAATTTTTAATTTCAATGCAACTTCTAACACTTCTCTCCTTTTGACCAGCCAAATGTATTGTAATCACCTTTGGGTAAATTTGTTTCATGTATATTTCAAGCCAGAAAATAAACATGTATACCCTCTTACTTGATTACAAACCAAAATTACACATTTGTATTTTACGCGGATTGAACAAATTGTACTGAGGATTTCATCAGTCGAAGAAAAAATTTGATGTTTTTTTAGGGAAAAAGTCTATTTTTTTGATGCCGCCACAGTTGGCAATTCTTCATTAATGAACCATGCATTTTTAATAATCTTGATTCTGAACCTTGTGCAATTGTTTATCAATAATTACGATATGATTGATGATGAGTGAGGTAAATATCTCAATAATAACGGAAATAAGCATTTTTATCAGTGCTATGAAAGCATAAGATGCTGTAAAGACAAATAAAAACTTGTGGTGATAATCGCGTTGAGGTGATAGTGCACAGAATAATATAGTTTTGACCGCAATACTGTGATTTGCTGAAAGTAAAACGAGGCCGTTGTTTGTTCTAAGTAGAAGGCAGAAATTTTGAATCGTGAACAATTAAAAAATGAGGGTTATTACCCATTTAATCTCCCCACTGGCTTTTCCCTTGAGTGATATATAATTTTACTTAATCTTAAATTAACATGATTCCTACAATCAATGAAGTTGTTGAAAAATATATATGTAACAGCAGAAAATTATCATCAATTGCAAAATAGCCAGTATGCTAATATATCCTGTAAATTTACAGCAGATATGCCCCTTTGGCAACCACTTCCCTAAAAATTTGAATGTGTAGCCCAATGAAACGAACATGATCTGGTTCTAAGCATATAAAATTATGGCGAGCATTGGTGTTCAACTAAGGAACAAAAATTTCTTTTACTTATTCCATCCCGACTTGTTGGGTGGAAATATGGAGAAACTCTCAGCGGTGTGGCGCATGACTCGGCAGTGTGGCAAATTCTGCTAAGAGTTAGGAATATGCTTGCCACCGCACCTCTGATTACCATGCGTGGGTTTGCACTTTTGAATCACATGCAGGGTTGATTATGTATGAGAGGATGACTGGACTCCTCGCCACCATAGGGTGGTTCATGCACACACTGGTCGGTTACGGCTTTCTCCACCATCAAGTCCATGCATCTGAAAACTGGCTAACTAAATGATAACCGAACGAGAGACCGTGGTTCGCCATATGATGATTAAGCAATCTTATTGGCTTTCCTCTCCCCTGGGATAAATATGTCAATCCTAATTCTAAACCCTAATTTATGTGCTAAAGATTGGCCTCGTTTCACAATGTAGAAGTCCTAGATATTTTTTACCATGTTTTCTTGATGATGTAACTGCTATCTGCCAGATACCTGTCCTGGGCTGTTCTGCCTATTTCATACAAACGGCAGCAGGCCTTTCTATTTGCTATGTTCCCACTAGCGCCAAAATTATATTACATATATACAAAAGAATGGTGAGAAATGAAGACATTAACATCGTACATGACGAGAGAAAATACATTTTCCAAGTTTAATATTCCCGGTTAACAGAATAAGAGCCAGATACAACTCTAAGGTCACTCCTGCATGAAACAGGGGCCATGATACTTTACTCTATTGAAGCAGCATTCCATTAGCTCCTTGTAATAATAATTTGAAATAGGCCGCGTTAATATCATAGTAATATTTTAATGTTAGTTTTCTGCTTTGTGAGTATTAAGGATTTCATAAAGCTCAAGCTTTCGATCTATTTGACAACATGGGTCAGAATCCTCAGTGTTTGAGTGGCTCACTCAATATATATCGATTCTGATATTTCTACTTTTGTAGTTTGATTTATTTTTTCAAATTCAATGGTAAGGTCTAGAACAGAGTGGTCCAAGGTTGTCGGCTCCAGGGGCCACAAAATTGATTAGCCACGTTGATCAGTATTTGTCATTTATTAAGCTAAATCATGCAAAAACCACCAAAAAACTTACTAAAACCAGCAAAAGGCTTTCTATATCTACGTTTAGTGTAAGATTTCAAACTCTCCATAACAGTAAAAGTGTTTCCGCAAATGTAAGTGCTTTTGAACAGCCAAAGGATTTTTTAAGCAAAATCTTAACTTTGGAAAAGCTCATTGCTCACAAGATTCTAAAATGTGGTTTTAAAATATTCTTTTGTCACCGACAAAATGCCGATCATTGGTACCCCCCGTCCTTCCCCCCCCCAACACATTCAGTTAAAAATATGTTTGAATTCGTCAGTTTACAAAATAGCGTACAAATAAATAACTGCAGATTGATTGATTACCAAATGTGAGGTACAGGAGGGTAACTACTAAATGTTCTGACATATAGGCAGCATTTTTTGTAATACTGTTCAGGCGGGCTGCAAAAAACACCCGGCATGAATTATATTGTAAGGCCATGACATTAATATTAGTTATCAGACATAGCCAACCAAGCTAATTCGATTTTTAGTTTTCTATGATACCAAAATTGTTAGCATATATTCGTGACCAAGAAGATAGAAATCCAGATAACAGTTTAGACTGCCAAGCACATCATTCAACTTTGCTAGTCGCCCAAGAACACTGTTCAATTCAGTGACATTGGGGATATAACAATATGCCGAAAGATTTTTCTGGTTAGTTCTATGACGAAACAACACCAAATGCGATTTTTGATTACCATCTGGCCCGCGGACCTGGGTTTGAACCACCCTGGTCTAGAATATTACTAGAATATCGTGAATCAAAACCTAGAAATTCCACGAAAAATCACTTCCAGTTTGTAAATGTTCATAATGGATCTCCGCTCTAGGAAACCCTTTTATTATCAGTCGTTCTGTCTGTGTATCTGTCTGGACCAATCGGGATGAAATTTCTCACGTGGGTTATCAGGTCACCCTAGTATTGTGCGTTTCATAGAAAGTCCGTATGGAGGTTTCGTTTCCATGACAACGACGAATAACGCGCCAATCGTTAAGAAATTTCCATTTTTTCCCAACTTATCGCCGTTCAATTGTTAACTAATTTGAAATTTCAAGAACGCTACCTTCTGCACAGAAAAATACGCTTTCCAATAAGTTGTCTTTGGTCTCGATACTCCATAAACTGGAGAAGCCTTAGGGATTTTAATGAACATGATTCTTTCCAATTTTTAGTCACCGCATATCAGTCACGTAAGTATGTCTACAAAACGTGCAGGGCTCAAAATGAATTGGACTTTTCAACCAACCTGCTCACTTAGTTAATTGCGCCACCGTTAAAGATCCTCAAGTTTCTATGGATGGCAATAAGTAGCTAAGTGCGGGCCCCAACTATCAGCTGAGATCCTGGGTGACTACCGGCTTGTTTTTATTTCCTACTCAGTAAAAAACCATTTATAGAAATTTTTAAACGTGCAAAAATAATTAGATGTTTACCAGACGGAGCCACCCAAATATCCGAATAGAAAACCGCTGTACACAATGAATATGCTTGATCAGAAACTAAAAAGTTTTTAGAAATATTTTTAATGAAACTTCACAGAATTAGCTGAGTTTTTGTCCAATTGACATGGCTTGCAGCAACGACCCGATCGCTATTTCACCCAATGGTGATTTTTGTATTAAAGTGAAAAAACAAAACTTGATTTTCAAATTTTTTGTATTTTAAGCTATAGTATGAGCTTACAATTTTTCTTTGTTTACTATAAGTGCACTTCCCTGCAAAAACTACGAGAAATTTTCACAAATGCTAAACTTTTTAAAAAATTTTTATCTCATACTGTGACTGTTTTGATATAACAATATTTTTGTTCTGTTCTATGAGTTTTAAGGATTTCATAATTGCTCAATCTTTCATCTCGTGCAGTTGTTAACATGGGATTCAACTATTCCGAATTTACTGATTTTAATTCTGATATGTCTAGTTTTGTAGATCAGATTTTGTTTTTAAATTCAACGGTATTTTCTATGAAATATTAATGATATGTTTGTATCAAAACTACTTTCAGTTTGAGAAGTTCATATTTTTTTATTTTTCACTCAGTAGAGAACCATTCATAGATTTCATGGTTTAAAAATTATTCTTGTTTCTTTATAGATCAAGGACTTGGGGCTGAGTTTTAACACAAACATGGGAGTTGAAGGTTTATCATCAGTTGGACAAATACTTTCCAATCAATCCTGTGTTGAATACTTGGGCCTTCGCAACTGCAACCTGTCATCAGATCAACTACAAGCTTTCAAATCATCCTTGGGAAACACAGAGGTATAACACAATAATAATGACATAATTAACGTTTTAACAAGGGTTGGAGGAAATTTTGATTTTATAATATGTTATAGTTTTACACTTTCATAACCCAAAATTGGATTACATGGTGGAATTTATGAAAAACCTCTACAATTTTAAATTTATCTTTTTAATAATAGTTCCCAGGCCTAAATGTTATTTGAAAATTTGTTTGAAAAACATAATAACCAATTCTTCTGATCAATTCGGTTCTGTTGAGTCTTGTTTTGTGGTTGTGTGAAATACCCGAAATTGCCCTATATCCTACTTAAAATATATTAAATTTTTTCTGATGAATTTCCAAGTTTAATGGATTAGAAGAAAATTTTAGAACCAAATTAGCAAAGTATTCTTTTATTGAGTACTTATCATTAAATATATTTTTTGAGAAAAATGTACTATATGACTCTTATCAACACCATTAACTCTAAATTAGGCCCTGTACAACTGTTCACTGATATATTTTAAAAAAGGGTAAGGAAATAGTATTACCTTCTAACAGATATCAGGGAACAATTGTACATAACCTGGTTTGGAGTGAACGGCATTGAAAAGATCATATAACACATTTTTCTGAAAATTTGAATGCAATTCAGATTGAAATGGCATGAATTATATTGTTAGGCCATGACATTAATATTACCGGTAGTTATCAGACATAGCCAACCAAGCTAATTCGATTTTTAGTTTTCTATGATACCAAAATTGTTAGCATATATTCGTGACCAAAAATATAGAAATCCAGATAACAATTTAGACTGCCAAGCACATCATTCAACTTTGCTAGTCGCCTAAGAACACTGTTCAATTCAGTGACATTGGTGATATAACAATATGCCAAAAGATTTTTCTGGTTAATTCTATGAAGAAACAACACCAAATGTGAATTTTGATTACCATCTGGCCCGCGGACCTGGGTTTGGACCACCCTGGTCTAGAATATTACTAGAATATCATGAATCAAAACCTAGAAATTCCATTAAGTCGTCTTTGGTCTCGATACTCCATAAACTGGAGAAGCCTCAGGGATTTAATGAACATGATTCTTTCCAATTTTCAGTCACCGCATATCAGTCACGTAAGTATGTCTACAAAACGCGCAGCCCTCAAAATGAATTGCACTTTTTAACCTACCTGCTCACTTAGTTAATCGCGCCACAGTTAAAGATCCTCAAGTTTCTATGGATGGCAATAAGTAGCTAGGTGCGGGCCCCAACTATCAGCGGAGATCCTGGGTGCCTACCGGCTTGTTTTTTTATTTCTCACTCACTAAAGAACCATTTATAGAAATTTTTATATGTGTAAAAATAATTAGATGGTTACCAGATGGAGTCACCCAAATTTCCGAATAGAAAACCGCTGTACACAATGAATATGCTTGATCAGGAACTAAAAAGTTTTTAGAAATATTTTCAATGAAACTTCACAGAATTAGCTGAGTTTTTGTCCAATTGACATGGCTTGCAGCAACGACCCGATTGCTATTTCACCCAATGGTGATTTTTGTATTAAAGTGAAAAAACAAAACTTGATTTTCAAATTTTTTGTATTTTAAGCTATAGTATGAGCTTACAATTTTTCTTTGTTCACTATAAGTGCACTTCCCTGCAAAAACTGCGAGAAATTTTCGCAAATGCTAAACTTTTTAGGAATTTTGTTATCTCATAGTGAGCAAAGGCAGGTCAAAACATTTTTTGACTTTAGAAATTTGAAATTTCACCCAATGGTGATTTTTGTATTAAAGTGAAAAAACAAAACTTGATTTTCAAATATTTTGTATTTTGAGCTATAGATAGTATGAGCTTAAAATTTTTTTTTGTTTACTATAAGCGCACTTCCTTGCAAAAACTGCAAGAAATTTCGCATATCCCAAACTTTTCAGGATTTTTGTTATCTCATAGTGAGCAAAGGCAGGTCAAAACATTTATGACTTTTGAAATTCATACATGCAAGTATGACTGTTTTGATACCATAACAATATTTTTGTTCTGTTTTATGAGTTTTAAGGATTTCATAATTGCTCAATCATTCGTCCTCATGCAGTTGTTAACATGGGATTCAACTATTCCGAATTTACAGATTTTAATCCTGATATGTCTAATTTTGTATTTCAGATTTTGTTTTTAAATTCAACGGTATTTTCTATGAAATATTAATGGTATATTTTGTATCGTAAACTACTTTCAGTTTGAGAAGTTCATAATTTTTTATTTTTCACTCAGTAAAGAACCATTTATGGATTTCATGGTTTATAAATTATTCTTGTCTCTTTATAGATCAAGAAGATGTGGCTGTATGGAAACAGAAACATGGGAGTTGAGGGTTTATCATCAGTTGGACAAATACTTTCCAATCAATCCTGTGTTGAATTGTTGGAACTTGGCAACTGCAACCTGTCATCAGATCAACTACAAGCTTTCAAATCATTCCTGGGAAACACAGAGGTATAACACAATAATAATGACATAATTAACGTATTAACAAGGGTTGGAGGAAATTTTGATTTTATAATATGTTATAGTTTTGATTTTGATTTATTTATAGATTTGATTTTGATTTTAAGTTTAATTTTTTAATATGTTATAGTTTTACACTTTCATAACCCAAAATTGGATTACATGGTGGAATTTATGAAAAACCTCTATAATTTTAAATTTTTTTTTTTAAGAATAGTTCCCAGGCCTAAATGTTTATTCGAAAATTTGTTTGAAAAACATAATAACCAATTCTTCTGATCAATTCGGTTCTGTTGAGTCTTGTTTTGTGGTTATGTGAAATACCCGAAATTGCCCTATATCGTACTTAAAATATATTAAATTTTTTCTGATGAATTTCCAAGTTTAATTGATTGAAAGAAAATTTTAGAACCAAATTTGCAAAGTATTCTTTTCTTGAGTACTTATCATTAAATATATTTTTTGAGAAAAATGTACTATATGACTCTTATTAACACCATTCACTCTAAATTAGGCAATGTACAACTGTTCACTGATATCTCTTAAAAAAAGGAGAAGGAAATAGGAAATAGTATTTCCTTCAAACAGATATCAGTGAACAATTGTACATAACCTGGTTTGGAGTGAACGGCATTGAAAAGAGTCATATAACACATTTTTCTGAAAATTTGAATGCAATTCAGATTGAAATTTGGGACAGAAGGTAACAGATTTCAAACATCAAATGATGAATGATAACAATTCTAAAAAGCTACTTATTTCCAACATTGAAGGTTGGACAACAAAAGCATTTCTGTTTTTGAAATATTACCGTAATATGACTATGTTGCTGCTCTGAGTTGAAAATAATTTTACAATTTTGTTTATTGATTCCAAATGCTACCAAGATATGAAATACAATCGGTTTAATCAAAAAATTGTCACTTGACTAAAACATTGAATTTTAATATCTATTTATCCTCACTTGATAAAAACTTCTGGCACCAGGCTATATATTCAAAGTTACAAGGGTGGGTCAACTTTCTAAATGCGGATTTTTACCAAGTTTGTCAAATTTGAATATGAATTTCACTATGTTGTGTATTAATGCCAATTGCTACCACTTCATTAAATGCAATTATTCTGACCTACAACCCCAAGGCCATTCAGAGTTAGGTCAGTATTTTATGATGTATCACTGTCGTCAAATTTAATATTAAAAAACAGTAGGCCTATAAGATGCAAAACGATGAATTTTATAATTATCAATGAACTATTACAAATTTTTATATGTGTTATTATAATTACATAGTTACCTGACGGAGCCACCCAAATTTCTGAATAGAAAACCGAATTTCCGAATTGCAAAATATAGAAAACTCATGCTCTCCTCTTTTTCCAATCTGCTGTTGCCACATCTCCCAGTTAATGTCGTGTTGGTATTCCATTTTTTCGCCATTTTCAGCTAAACAATTGACCAGATTCATAACTATTGAGTCGTCAGTACCTGGAATAGTCAGTCGTTATTCTATAATTACCGTAGTTTTATAGTGTATTTCTCTGCTAATTGGTACCATTGCATGGACATATTCCATGGGATAGATAGGAGTGTTCTGAGGATATCACCCATATATAATATTGGGTGCAGTATGACATTCAAAACAATAATTTCGGGGCCATAGATGTACAATAAACCTTGATCTCAAATCAGTTAGTTAGTCCTTTTATGCTAAGTTGTTAATTAATGTTATATTTTGTGCATTACCACTACCTTTAACATGAATGGTTACATCTCTACACTATTCCCAATTGTTGTTAAATATTTCATCGACGGCTTGTTGCAAAACCACTGAATAACTGTTTCATATTATAGTCTTTATAGTTACCCGCATTTCGTTGAATATTCAATTCACTGATTAGAATCATTAATCTTAATAATTTCACACAGAGTTATGGTGCTCATCTTTTACTCAAGCACAATCACAGTACGAGGTTCATGTTTCGTAATCTCTTCTTATCAAATGGGTAAACTAATTAGTTAACATTTTATACACGCCTGCACTTCGCAAATCCTATCTTATGCATCCTTGAAAACTCAAACCCGTATCTAATCTAATCAGCTGCCAGTGCCCGGGTGAGCAGTTGTCATGGTTACCACGCTTAATGGTGCTTGTAGTCTCTATTTTTTCATTGACTAGCGCCTCTGGATTGACTAGACCGTACTTAAAGGTTCTCCTCACTGACATGCGATTCCCATTCTATTTTATTCTAAGCTGTATATGTACGTCACACTGATTGAAGCACTATTAACGCTATAAATCTTTTGACATTTACAATGGAAGGATTAATTCTGATATCATGAATGTTTGTATGTCCCATTGTATTTTAGTAAATTCTAATGAGACAGGCCAATTAGGCCTTTGGGACATGAATTAAGCATGCCTTTTCACAACAAACCTTGTGACAAACTTTAACTTTTAGTCTTTAGTACAGAATCAATAAATTACCTTCCAAAACAACCTTTGACTTCTGGCACCCGGCTAGGTATTTAATGTCACAAAAGCTTGTCTGTTTTTGAAATTTCAATTTCGACTCTGTTGCTCTGTGTTAACAATGATTTTACAATTTTGCTTAATGATTACAAATGTTAGCGATTTGTGAAATACGATTGATTTAACCACAAAAAATGCTACACAACGAAAACATTGAATTTTGATAACTATTGTTTCTCCTTTGATGAAAACTCCCAACTTCTAGCACCAGGCTGTATTTAATGTTACAATGCATTTCTGTGTAATATGAATAATATGGGTTTGGCAAAACTATGATGAATATGACTGTTATATATTTTATCCATGTCTGATTGTTCTTTGTATTTGTTTATTTCAACAGATTGATCACTTGTATCTGGATGAAGATCGAACTGCAAACCATGAAGATATTGTTGCAGTTGCAAATCTGCTTCCTAATGTTACAAAGAAGTTATCATTGCATGGATGGAGAATAGCAGATGAAGATAAAGAAATATTGCAGAATAAATTGGATGAAATTGGATCTGAGGTTGGAAGTTCTTTCTGAGATAAACAAAATATAAGATATGGGTCAGACATAAAATCAACGATTTGCGTAAAAACTGAAATAAACTGCAAGTCTAAATTGTTCACGCTGAACTGAACACTTCAAAGTTTCACCGAAGTGTAGGTTATTTCCATTGGTGTCATTTCAATTCTTTAAAGGAGTCATCAAAATATAATGTCATCGCAGTCAATGTGATTGTGTTGCACATATTCAATATTTGCTATTTTTTTATTTATTTGTATTTTATTTGTATATAGTATGGTTTTTTGGGAAAATGCATCGAATTTTAGCACTGGAATTATCAGACACCATTGTCTGTTTGATTATTGTTCTGCATTCTTAGTGCTGATCTTGTATAAAAACTTTGTTTTATTTATTACAGGAACTAGAAATTCAGTTTTTTAGTAGTACACTCAAAAGTCAAAGGAAGTCAGCAGATGCTACAACTAATTTTTTTTCTAAACAACTTCCGACCACAACTTCAAAAGCTGAATTTGGTAAGTTATAAATATGTTGTTTAAATTGAGTGGTGCTATGGTATAATGAGTACGTAATGGTCATCAAGTATTTTAGTTATGGTCATCAAGTATTTTTCATTTTTTGAGGATTTAATGATAATAAATATACTTTCATTGCTGCTGAATCTGGCATATCATTCAACACTGTCTTGCAACATGTTATATATTGAGATTCTTTAAACAGATTTTTATATTTTTATCGTTTATTATAAATATGGAATTATCGAACAAAATTTTCAGTGTGTTAAGATTGAATATAAATCTAGCATATTAAAATTAATTTCATGGAAAAATATAAATTAATTGTTTCCAAGTTGTTGAATTTGGTTGCGGAGCATCGTTATGGATGGTTGCTTGGCATACCAATCTGATTATCTTGCTCGGTTCACAGTTTCGGATCTTGGGGATAATTAAGTGCGAGAGGTTTGCTGAATTTCATGTCGTCAAATAGTGGTTCATGTACCCACTGGTTTATTGAGCTTCCTCCACCATCAAGTCCATGCATCTGAAACAAATAACTAACTAACTAATCCCATACCCGACATGCATTGGTAACCGGATGAGAGGCCACGGTTCACTGTATAAGCCTCATTATTGATTTACCTTTCTCTTCCGGGTAAAATAGGAAATTCTATCATAATTTCTGATAAACGATGTTAAATAGCTCAAAACAGAGTCTTAAATAGTATCATCATTTTTTGATAATTATTTATTATCCTTTCTCAGGATCACCATATGCAAACAGTTTTGAAAATACTGGAGAAAATGTAGCGACTTTACAAGAAGTAGGAAGCCCAAGGTTAGATATAACAGTACTTTACCTTTGTATGATACAAATTGCTCACCTATATTTCAATTGTCAAGGATAGCAATGGCCTAGTGCAGCGGTTCCCAAACTTTATGTTTGTACAGCGCTAAATTATCAGGGAGAAAATTGTGGTACACGTACACGAAACTTGCTGCATTTGGATAAAACTGAATTTTGTGATCGTTAATGTGCATTTTATGCTTTTTAAAGTTTGTCAATATGTGCGCCTGAAGAAAAGGGAATGCCATAAAAACATTTAACTTATTTATTTAATGAGAGGTGTGCGGCAGTTGCTCTGAACACACATTTTCAAAGCGAGATGTTATACTTGGTGTGCACATGCATTTCTCTCTCTATGTCCAAATGTAACTGGTATTTTGTTTTGATTGACACCACTGCTGAAAACTCATCTTTGCAAAGATAGGAGGTTGCACTTGTGGCCATTTCAAACAAAATTCATATGAGTCATTAAAATCTGATGTCAAGTTAACAAATTGCTCAGCTTTGCTTGTTGATAAGCATATATCTTCATATACACATCATTTAAAGTGAGAAATAATAAAACATTTATAATAAATACAATATGTAAAAAATTCAATCATATATCAGCTATGTTTAACACAATTCTGTTAATTTTTGCGTCATGGGAACCTCTGGCCTAGTGGTTGAAGTGTTGAACTTATTATCTATCACAGGTTAGAAATCTTTGGTACAAAGCCCATGCCCACCAGCTTACCTGGTGCACAATCTTTAACGCTGTGGGTGAGGGGAGAAGGGTTTTGAAATCGAGTAATAGGGGCTGTTATTTTAACCAATGGATCAAAATTAATACATTTGCATTCTCCAATTTTATCTTCAGAAGTGAACTTTTACTGTCTGAAGAAGAAGCAGAACAATCAGACGAAGAAGTAATGGAAGAACTTGCAAAGCCAACTCAGCATAGTAAGTCAGTCGTCTTAATAGAATCAGATGGTGTTGGGCTGAGTTAAATGCTTGTAATTATGAGGGAGTGCTGAACCATTGAGATGTTGGAATAATACAGGGGGTGTGCAACATTTTTTGTCGGTGGGCCATATGACCAACTTCAGACATCTAGCTAGGCCAGACAAAAAATTTAGCTTTTCCATAAACATAAAGAATTAAAAAATTCCCACAATAACGAATCCCATTCATGTAACAGTTTAATGGGACATTGGAAACTTCAAGATTATGCATAGTTTGTTAAGATCAGCTTTATCAGAACTGTCAACATAAACAGTCGGATTGGGATTTTATCCTTTGGGGGAGATTTGAATGCTGACAAGGGCCACACTGAATAGCTTGACGGAACGGTTTATGGCCAACGAGCCACCTGTTGCACACCCCTGAAATAATTGAATCTATCCTCAACCAAATTTTCGCACAAATAGTAAGGTTTGGCAAATCAACTGCCAAACTGGACAAATATAACCCACTCCTGGTTGGAGAAGATATCAACTCCAGCTCTAAACTACAAGGAAATCAAATTTTAATTATAATTAATTGCCGTGTGCATGCCTTTTTAATACACTGTTAGGAACGCTTGGGCCACCTCATGTTTTTGAGTTTCAGTAAAAAAAATTCATAAAAGTCTAAAATTACCGTATTACCCAGATAATTTAACATTCCAACTTCTACTCCTGACTTTGAGTTTGAAAATATCACTTCAGCTCCAATTCCAATGAAAACGTTTTATCCTGCTTTTAGGATATAACGCTAACTGAGTCTTAGATTTCCTATTAGTTGCACATGAATCTTTGTATTTCGCTTTTGCTTGAAAAAGTCATTCACAGTTGTTTTATTATAGGCCTGCTTTATTGATTCAAAAATATCTGAATTGCAACTCACTACTATTTTATATTCGATTTTGTTTTTGAATTTGTATGAATTGCGCAGAAATAATTTTAAGTTCACAGTTTATATCGAAAATGTTTTTTATTGAAGTATGCTAAGTCGAAATATTTATTTTTAGCTTTGCCGCAAATTGAAAATATTTCGTCTCAAAGAAGTGGATCTGACATTCTCTTGACTTGGAATGCAGTATCTGACAGAAACGTTCTATACAACATAGAAATCTTCTGTGATGATGAGAAACTTGGAGAGACTCACACTACAGAAGTTCCTCAGTATAGAATGAAGTCATCTAAACTTGGTAAAAAATATCGTTTCCAAGTCTGGGCCAAAGATGAATTGGGAAACTCCGGCATCAAAACACAATCAAAGAATGTTATCAAATGTAAGTTTTGGTCATTTATTATTAAGTGAAGTAGCAGCCTCATAATTCAACTTGTTCGTTGTGTCAATAAATAGTCGGTGAGTGTATCTGCATGGTGGCGGCCCATCAACATTGCTATAAAAATATCAAGCATTTTCATTCTGAAATTCACTTATTAGTGCATTTTGGGTTAGACAATGTTGTTTCAATAACATATTGATCGGTCTTCTGTGGGCCTTGGTAGCAATGTTGGGGGGACTCGAGTAACTCACTCATTCGAACTTGAATAACAGCCATAGCAACTTTACTTAGGATTCAAAAAAAATTTTGGGCAAGTATTTGGAATAGCAAAAAATCAATTGAATATGAATTGCCATACATATCAATGCTGTATATTTGTAATGAGCAGAAGGCTAATTGGCATAAAATCAGTGGTTCCAAACGACATTTTTTCGAAATCAAAATGATTTACATCCGTTGACCAAGGCACTTTGTATTTATTCTACCATTTGTGGTAGTTCAAGATTTGTTCACTGGCGTTCGACTGCACTATGTCAAACTGTTATGTGTAATAATGGCACCCCCGAAGTATGTGCACCAAGATACACCGGAACGTTGTATGTGTACCAGGTCAGGGTTAGGCCATATTTTCATTATACAATTTTCCTTTTTTTATTTATATTATGAGTTCGGGGACTAGCCAAGTGACTCCCACAGTATTTGTACCCGGAATTATGGCCTAATCCTAACCTGTTACACATATTGAGTTCTGGGACTAGCCAAGTGACTCCTGCAGACTCCCACAGTATTTGTACCTGGAATTATGGCCGAATGCTGACCTGGTACACATATTGAGTTCGGGGACTAGCCAAGTGACTCCTGCAGTATTTGTACCTGGAATTATGGCCTAATCCTGACCTGGTACAAATATTGAATTCTGGGATTAGCCAAGTGACTCCTGCAGAATTTGTACCTGGAATTATGGCCTAATCCTGACCTGGTACACATATTGAGTTCGGGGACTAACCAAGTGACTCCTGCAGTATTTGTACCTGGAATTATGGCCTAATTCTAACCTGTTAAACATATTGAGTTCTGAGACTAACCAAGTGACTCCTGCAGAATTTGTACCTGGAATTATGGCCTAATCCTGACCTGGTACAAATATTGAATTCTGGGATTAGCCAAGTGACTCCTGCAGAATTTGTACCTGGAATTATGGCCTAATCCTGACCTGGTACACATATTGAGTTCGGGGACTAACCAAGTGACTCCTGCAGTATTTGTACCTGGAATTATGGCCTAATCCTAACCTGGTACACATATTGTGTTTGGGGACTAACCAAGTGACTCCTGCAGTATTTGTACCTGAAATTGTGGCTTAATTCTAACCTGTTAAACATATTGAGTTTTGAGACTAACCAAGTGACTCCTGCAGTATTTGTACCTGGAATTATGGCCTAATACTAACCTGGTACACATACTACGTTACAGTGTCTGCCATCTTGGTCAACATACTTTGGGAGTACTGAAAAATTTATGCAGAAACCACTACTATAATGTCTCCTAAACACCATCCTCTTCCCTTAAATGTAATTAATGAAAATATATCGTGCTCTGGTCATACAAGCAATCTAAATTTATGAAACCGAATCATTATTTTATTCCTGAATGTGGATACATTGTTCCATACCTGATTGAACTGGGAAAAAACAATTGAAAATTCTAACTCAATACACAGGGTATTGCTCTAATAACTCATGGTAACAAATATTTTGTCGCATTCCAGATTTATGTCCAAGTACCCATTTCCTGCTCATGCTACTTCTTGCATTTTATTTCAGTAATTAGCAATCTTCTCATTTTGTAGCCAATGACCTCCTTTCCCTAATGGATGGATGCATCTGAAACAGATTACTGGCTATTACCTTACCTGACATGGACTGGTTATTGAACAAGTGCCGTCCGTGGTTTGCCATATGATTTGATGTCTGCTTTCCCATAGAAATCCCAATGACATTGGAAAGGTTTTTAAAATAACTTTGGAACCTGTCATAATTTAATTTTTGCCGCATTATAAAACAAATCTATTTTTTTAGTCGTAAACATTGAAGTTGCTGGTGGCTCCATGAGACTGAACGAATGCAAAGTCACGTTTCCTAGTGGAACTTTCAACAAACGAACAAAGGTATGGCTGTCGGTTGGAATAGACAATTCAATATGCCCCAAAGAATACATTGGTATCACACCTTTTTTCGATATCAGCGCAGATTCCAAATTTTACAAAGATGCGATCGTGCAAATCAAGTCATGGTGCGTCGGTCTGGAAAAAGACAAAATTGACATATTACATTTCTCAAGTAAAACTGACTGGGACATTATTAATCCTGATCGAATCACAAAGGATAACAGCATAGAATTTCGATGCAGAAAGTTTAGTCTATTCACTGTCGCCATCAAGTGGTTAAAATGGCTAATTGGCAAACAACAGGTCATTGTGGATAACTGTCTCTATATGTCAAACAAAAATGACTTTCATTTCACATTTTATGGACAATGTGAGACTGCTGAAACAAGAATCAGATCCCATTTCAGAGAACTAGGGGCACGTCTTGCTCCAATTTGGTTCAATCCAATCCCTTTGGAAACTGGTGACAGACTTCGCCTCGAGTTACAGATTGATCGGGGACAAGAAAATTTACAATTCAATATGCCTCACGGACGTTTCGATTGTGACAACACATTTCTAACATCCCAGAGACATAAATTAACATTTCATCTCCTTCCTAATTTGCAAGAATATCCTGAAAGACTCATCGTTTGCAGAGTTTTGAAAAATGACGTTTTGCATGAAATGCAAGACTTTCATTTTCCATTAGCCCCTTTAGGTAAGTGACACCGGGAGGAGGCATGTATAATTTGCAGTATCCCAATATTCGTGATTCATAATGTCGTAGTCATGTCTCTGCTCCTTAAGCTAGTGGTTCCTCAAAAATTTGTTATCGTCTTGTTCAGGTTTTGTTTTAGTAGGCCCGCGACAGAATTGAAAAAAAATTTTTAGGCATTGCCTAAGCTCAGGTTTCGCATTGAGTAAAATTTCGTCTTTTCTTTTTGTGTTGTGTGTTCGACTTATTTTTGACAACTTGACTTATTTTACCCTCTGAAAAAAACGTTAATAAATGTGGTATTTTCTACATTAAATATCTTTCTATTATTATATTCATAGAGGGAGGAGGACCTCCACCTGTCAACTTTGCTGGAGCAAATATCGGAAATGTGAATCTACCGGGAAATCATAACAATCAGCAAATGGTGTGGTTTGATTATTATTCCTTTCAATTGTGTTTTTATTGTATTTCATGTCATAAGTAGGTTGGGAAAGTCAACCTGACAAAAACTCAATGTCAATTCAAATTTAGCCTCTCTTGGCATCCCTCTAAATAGCGCCTTGTTTGGAGAAAATATGTGGCTTATCATATAAGTAGCAAAAATCAAACTTCTTGACAAGTTACACTTAGTGACTTTGAGAATGTTTAGCATGGATTGTAATGTTAATAGACCGGTATATTTTATGCTGATAGCAAACCCTCATATGAACTATGGGATATCGAGACCACTATTTCATATGAAATATTCTGACCTTGAAGTGAATTGATATTATTCTGCACTTTATAACACTGTCAATAAGGATAGTAGTCTATGTCACATAGTAAATATGGAATATTTATTCTAAGGGGCAAAACGAACAAAGACAACCTGGTGCAGTTGGTGGAAACCAAGCAAGAGAACCACAATTGAATGAACCACTACAACATGAAAGTGATAACGGTAGGTGAAATGCCACCGCCATAAGCATTTTGTCAGCCTTCCCAAATTAGTATTTTCTCAAATCATACTAAACCAAAAGTCTTTGATGTACTGGAATAATTATTGGAGTCATTTCAGATGAAACAATGACACATTTTGTCTGCATGATTCATATTTTCAGCATTTATATTTTGGATATGTGTACTGTACTGTGAGAAGTGTACTTCCCAGGTTCCTGGGGGGAATGAATAGGAACTTGCGAAACGCCCAGTGTGCCAAGGCGACATTATATATTTGTGGACGATCAATGACCCCTAAAATTTCATTTGTGATAAACAATATTTGTGATAGTTGCTTTTCTAATGTCTTATACAAACAACACAATTGTTGTGATATTTCTTTACTGAGCCCTTTTTTGCAATCAAATTATTTAGTTTCCAACTTCATCTGAATGAACAATTTTTTTTAGATTCTGATGACCTTTGCTAAAAACTCCCTCAAAAATATGAGAAGTTTCCTGGACTGAACACATGAGACAATGCTAAGATACAAATGACGCATGGGCATGTCGCGTAACATTAAACTAAAGAGTCATATTCGACTTTTAATTACTCCAACAACCTTGGACTGAATGCCGAATGATCCTGCAGTTCATACCCCTTATCCTGGAACATATTATGGACATGCACATGTAGTAAAGGGATTAAATATTGAAAAAATTAACTCACAAAGACTGTTCTCTAAATAGTCAAATTTTTCAGTAATAATAGAATTTAAGCAAAAATTTTATAAACCATTTTCATGTGAAATGTTGAGAGTAGCAAATCAGTTCATCATTGTAGGTTCATAGGCTTGTATTGCGGAGACGTATAAACTGACTCTTGGTGATATGTGCCATACTGTCACATTGACGATTTCTGCAAATTCTCTTGCTTACACAAGTCCTCACTAGATTTGACCCCATAAGCTCACAACGATAATCTTTGAATGAGTGTTTTGGGCAGCCATTACAACAGCCATACAACCCGAAGTTTCTGTACCAGAGCATTTTCCCTTTGCTTTACTTCGCCTCACTTGATCCCCACATTGGTACGAATAATTCTGGAGCGCCCAATATTTAATAATTTACAGCATTTTGTGAAATTCTGCACCAAATCCTGATTTGCATGTCTTTTCATTTGTTCCATACAAGTCCTTGTCATCTGATAAATTTGAAAATTAGGCTGAGTGCAGCATGCTTTAGCTTTTTATGTACAATTTTTAGTGAGCCACAACAAACTCACTTTAAGCTTTTCCAGAACATTATGTGTATTGTTTTTATATCGACCAGATTAAGAAGTTTTTATGCAATTACAATTTTGATGGCATGTCAACTTCCATTATTTACTTGAGATTTTTAGTTTTTCATGATTTGCAACTACTGTATATAATCTTGCTGTATTTGAATCCTGTATATAAGTTTTATTTGAAACTTCACATTTGCTTCAATTTTCAAAATATAAAGAAAAATAAAAAAAATAAAAAAATCAATAAGTAAAAAAAAATTTTCAAGTTATTAACATAATCGTAACTCGCTTTATATAGCTATTGTTAAATGTTTATTAATTTTTGTTGTGAAATGCATTATCAACTTTTGCTCTTATGTTTTTCAATTATTGTCAACTACTGATATCTATTATTCCTGTGTATATTTTAGAACATCCCTATGAATTTTAGATACTGCGATTACTTCCTAAAAATCTGTAGCTGAGGACTCTACTGGAGCTCAGTGTAACTTTGCTCCTAATCTATGTAAATTAACAAGAGATATCAATGATAAATTCTAGTTATATTATAATGGCGATACATGTTAAAATGACAAGCAATGCTTATTGCGAATTTCCATTTTTTGTTTTGTGAACATCAGCTTTTTAAATTTTCATGCACTGTACATTTTTTGTTTATCATAATTGACAACTGCTGTACCTAGGTTTTCTCTATAATTACGTGTGTTTCTCCAAGTAAAAAAAAAATAAAAATAGCCAAAAAATGAATAAAAAATTTTTAATGTTTTAAAAATATAAAATATCAAAAAAAAATAAAAAACAGTAGTAAAAATTGTGTTCCCTAAATTTTGTAATATAAAAAATGAAAAAATAACGAAAAAAAAATCCCAAGTTTTCAACAGCCTTTAGTTTTGGCGGTATAGGCCAACGTTGTTCTTGGTGCTATCATGTCAGTTGGTTCTTTGAATTTCACTTCTATTATTGGACACAAAATGGACTTTCACTGGTAAAAAAATGCCACAAAAATATCCCAATGACATGCAAAGCTTATTGTAAATTTCCTTTTTTTTTTGTATACATCTGCTTTTTAAATTTTCATGTACTGTACATTTCTTGTTTATCATGATTGACAGCACTGTACCTAATCTTGCTGTATTGGAATGAGAATAACAATTGAATAAATAGTTCAACTTATCCAATCCTCAATCCTCCCTAATGTATATAGGTTTTCTATATAACCTTGTGTGTTTTCCTATGTTTTAAAACGTAAAAAAAAATTAAAAAGAGTCATAAAATAGAAAAAAAAATTTTCATGTTTAAAAAAAATAAAAAATAGCAAAAAAAAATAAAAAACAGTAATAAAAATTAAAAAAAATTCATGTATTCCCTAAATTTTATATTATAGAAAAAAAATTAAAAACAACTAAAAAAAATTCAAAAATTAAGCTCAGAAATTGAGGAGGCTGATATATGAGTGGAAATATGAGGGTCCACTGAAGCCCCAAAACCTACTGAGACCATAAGACATTATAGTGTAAAATTACATGCCAGTGAATACTGATTGGTGTGAGACTTAAAGTACTTACAGGCAGAGCTCATGGAGTAGCCTATTAGCTTTCGTTTTAATTCTTTTGCTGAACAAAAATAATTCTTGTTTTTATTTTATTGAATTACTTCATTATTAAACTATATTGAATCAAAGGGTTTCCGATATTAACCAATGTCATATTATGTTTATATTTCTTTCAGATCTCAAACTGGGGTCTGCGAGGGATGATTGGGTAGGGTGGGTGTGTCTGAACAGCTGTTAGTTTTGGCGTTATAGACTAACATTGTTCTTGCCGCTGTTGTGTCATTTAGTTCTTTGAATTTCACTTACTTATTGGACACGAAAGGGCCTTATGGATATCTTAGTATTTTTCTTATTCTTGTAGGGAAAAAATAGCCTTTAACTACAGGATCAATTGCTAAAAAATTTTCTACGACTAAAGATTGTTCAAAAATTTATGTGGTCTCTGTGAAATTCGTATTTATCTTTTCTGTGTGATGACGTCATTAAAATAAAATATTTGCATCATGTCTTTGTTCCATGACCGCATTTCAGCGATCACACTAAGGTTAATAGGCATCATTTAGTTTCAATAAATCAGTAACACAATTTGTGTTGCAATTTGAGGAGTGGCAGCTGATGCGAATGTTTTCCAAACAGCTATATGCTATGTTCTGTATTGTGTTTTAGGTTTGAAATTATGGGGGTCTGTAATTGCCCCAGAAGGGTATAAGGGGTCCGTAGGCATAGTAAGTTTGAGATCAACTTTCTTAGATGGATAATTTTATGAAGCTACATTTGCAGTTTATGTGCAATGTCTCAAACCTGATGCTACAGCTCATTATTGAAAGCAATCTAGTCGAGATACAGACTAGTCGAGTCGTTATTTTTTTTTTAATTTTTGTCTTTTGATTGGGATTTTTGAATATGACTTTGTGGATAAAACACCCATTATAAGTGGTTATTTTCATACAAATCTGCTTTTCAAATCAGTCTCATTGTTTGTACTTACTAAAACCTGCAAAGGCCTTCTTCAGCTTTCTTTTAAAACTAATGTTTACGAAATAATTTATAAATAACTGCAGATTCATTAATTACCGAATGTAAGCTAACAGGAGGGTAAATACTGAATTTTCTGACAAATAGGCAGCATTTTTTCTAATACTGTTTTGGGTGGTTGCAAAAAACACATGGCATGAATTATATTGTTGGGCCATAACGTTGATATTTAGTTATTAGGCATAGCCAACCTAGGCTAATAAAATTCACAATCGATTTTTAGTTTATTATAATGCCAAAATTGTTAGCATATATTTCTGACCAAGAAGATTAAAAAAAAATTTAGATTGCCAAGCACATCATTAAACTTCGCTAGTTGCCTCAGCCGATTATAACACTAATCAATTCAGCGACATTAGTGATGTAATAATATGTCCAAAAAAATTTCTGGTTAATTTTATATGAAAACAACACCAAATGCGATTCTTTGACTACTTTCCGAATGTGACGCAGGCCACAGATCATGAAGCTGCGGGCCACATGTGGCCCGTGGGCCTTGGTTTGGACCACCCGGGTATAGAGTGAGTAGTACCGGTAACTGATGATGAAAATTCATGTTTGAAATTCTCAGTGATTCCTGTATTTAAATGCCTAACTTTTGCTTGATATGTTATTTTATTTATTGTAAAAGTGGAATATTTCAATATAGAGCTCATAACTTTATGATACAAAATGAAATGACCAACTTAACACTTTCGCCTGCATAATCTAACAGGTCTTCAGTCAAAAACGTTTATGAATTGAATTTACTTTTAATTCTGCGTTATTCCGAAGCTTTGGATTCTTTGGGAACTCATGAAAAGATCGGTCAGGTTGTTTCTCAGACATTACAGAGCACCCGCATACGACACAGTACCATATTCAATTATTCCATCGTCTTATACCTGTAATAGGCCTATGCTGATTGAGTCGAAATAACTTATACTAGTCCTGTAGTAGCCAGTCTTTGAAAGAAAGTAAACAGAAGAACCTGATACCCCAATCTACGTTTGTGGATGGACTGTTATGAAACATTCAATCTATTTACAGAGTTTGTTTTTTTCAGTAACAATTTTTTGTCACTGTTTTTTGCAATAAAATTGAACCACAGCATCACCATAATACGTCAACGAGTGTTTTTTACTCCATATTTTTGCAGAAAAAGCACCGTTATGATACAAATACACGTCTAACATTTTAAAATTCATTTGAAAGGCTTGGCGGTGTGGCGCATCGTGCTAAGCGTTAGGAATACGCTCGCCACCTCATCTCCGATTACTCTTCGTATCTCTTACTCTGCATCGCATGCAGGGATAATCATGTGCGAGAGGATTGTTGGACTCCTCGCCACCGTAGGGTGGTTCACGTAACCGCTGGTCGGTTACGGCTTCCTCTACCATCAAGTCCATGCTTTCGAAAACAAATACTTAGCTAACTAATCCCATACCAACCTGGACTGGTAACTGGACGAGAGTTATGCCCGTCCTCCAGGTCGACTGTGTTTTGTTTGTCCGTTTGTTGTTGTTTTGTTCCTATCAGAGTGATTAAATCAAAATTGATTGGTTGATTGAGAGCTATGCACCTTTCCCCGACCTTTGACCCCGGAATATTCTTCCTATACTTTACCATTGCAATATTCTCGAGGCTATTTTAAGAGTGCTTTTGTGTGTTGGCGCCCGTAAAATGGGGTATGTGTTTCAAACCATCATTATGATTCATCGCATACAACGATCTGTTTTTAAAAGTACCGGTAAAGAATTTCAGGCTAGTCTATCACAGCTATTTCTACACTAATTTTTATTACTGCAATTAAATTGAAACTCCTAGAAAGACAGAGTGACCATTGAAATATCTGATTTATATTTAAAGTTTCCGAAACACAACTGAAAACTAACGAATAGAGTTCAAAAACGCAAAAACGAGGTAATGTTTACAACCCCGCTTGAAAATCTGTCTGAGTGAGAAAAGTGTCTGAGCGGATGCGAAATGGGGGCATTGTTACGTCACTTTGTGCATCTTGCTGATTGGCCAATGTCACGAAGTAAACAAGGTAGTCGATGCTCGGGGAAAGGTTCATGTTCAGTGGGATCAATCAATCATCATTTATTCGTCAACACAATCAATATAAATATATCACGGAAATATGGCAAGATATACAATAAGTAAAAAAAAGAACTTCATATGTGTGACAGGAGTCGCGAGGGACCACGAAAGGTCTTCGAGCAGCGACACCTACGATGCTGATTCAGCTTAATAGATAAATTTAGTTAACGCCTATGCTTCTAATCATTATTATTTACAAAACATAAAAAACATGACATCAAACAATTGAATAATATGTGTATATAACAAATTTGAAAAACATGAAAACCACCAAATAGCTATTACAAACAGATTCAGATTCAGATATTTTATTTCGTCATGCAAGAATCAATATGAGGCAAAAGAAAACACAGTAAACTGAAAAAACGAAAAACATTGATTCATTGCAATTGACGCGGGGTCGCGAATAGACTCAATGAGTCATCTAGTCAGCGACACCTTGGTGCTGTATTAAAGCAGCAAATATAGCAATGAAGCATATAGAACAACAAAAAAACGAAAATTTATCTTCAGAAATACACAAATCATTGAAATACAACAATAGATTCGAAATAAAATACACAAATCATGGAAAGACAACAGTGGATTCGACAACAAAAAAGGAAAAATTATCTTCAAAAATACAAAAATCGTGGAAAGACAACAATAGATCCGAAATAAAATACACAAATCATGGAAAGACAACAATAGATTCGAAATAAATTTAATTGTAAATAACCACACTACAAGAACCGCCAGTACGATTCATTCAGAAGAAGGCTCATTAGCGACATCTGGTGTTTAAGATGCGCATCGATGAATTCAAAACATAAAATAATGCTGAGTCATACGACCCAGCACTAAAAATGACTGAAGTAGCGTCCCGCGCAACTGGGTTGCCGTTTGATAGCTATTATATGTGGAAAGTAGACGACGACGAGTTTCCGGCACAGTAAGGTGAAGTACCGGTATGCACTATATAAATTGCACATGAGAAGTTGGCAAAAAATGACATAGTAAAACATGAAACAGCCAGCAAAAGAGGTACAGCATTCAGCTGTCATAAAAAAAAATAATGGATACAGCTGTTCAGTAGAGGAACATGGATGGGTAAACTTCTTTATATATATATATATGAATGAGAAAAAATCCAAATTCAAAGAGAAACCAATCATAATAAAAGTAGATGGAACTCTAATAAATGTACAATTAGGTTTTTAGACCGTGTACATAACATTGAGGTGTATATAACACCTCAATGGTACATAACGGCATAATCGTTGCCAGCCAAGCAGCAATTTTGAAAAATAAGGACTCCGTGCACCTCTGAATCGCTCGAGCTGGGATCAGCGTTGTCAAGAATAATCCTATTTTAACATATTGTTGACGTGAGCTCAAGTAGTTCTGGAATAATTTTGATGCATGTCCGCAAATACCATAGTGGCACATCTTTTTAACTAATATGTTATGATCAACAGTGTCGAATGCCTTTTTTAGGTCGAGGAATATGGCACTAATATGCTCGTTTTTATCTAATTCGTCATAAAAGTAAGAAACCATGTCAAGAATCGCATGATTAGTAGAGTGCTTTTTTTGGAAACCGAATTGGGATTTGTTTATAATGCTATGGTTATCTATAAATTGTATAAGTCTGGTGTGTAGAAGTTTTTCAAATACTATAGTTATGGCCGAAAGAACTGAAATAGGTCGATAGTTGGATGCACATTCTTTTTGCCCACTTTTGAATACAGGAGTAACTTTGGCAATTTTCAAGCAATTCGGGAAAATGGTGCAGTCTATGCAGGCATTAAATAACTTGCAAATCATAGGGGTATATTGTCATACCCAACCGCTTTACCATCCGGTAGCATTGCTATAGTGCTAAAGATTTCATTGAATGTTGCTGGTCTAAGAAATAAGGATTCTTTCACTGGATTTTTGAGATTAGTCGAAAAAGACTCATTAGACTGAGGTATATTTTCAGACAGTTGTGGCCCTATAGCGGTAAAATGATTGTTGAGATAGTTGGCAATGCAGACTGGATCACATACCATCGACCCATTTTCAGTTTTTAGCTCTTTGATTGCAAGTTTTCTTTTTTTTTTTATATTGGCCAAGTGTCCTATCAACTTCCAAGTAGATTTAATATCACCACAAGTTTGTTTAAATTTATCGAAGTAATATAATTTTTTTGCTTTAGTTATTAGGGTTTTTAATAATTTACTGTAAGTTTTGTATGATCTATGTTGAATATCGTTACCTTTTTTGAAGTGGGTTTTGTACATTTTATGCTTCTTTCTAATAGAAACATGAATCCCTTTGGTGAGCCAAGGTTTGGCTAGAAATCTGGCTTCGCTCCGACTTACTGCTTTCAAAGGCGCATGAGCATCAATAGTTGTCCGAATTATTTCTATAAATGTTTCAAATAGAGTATTCAAGTTATCACTAGTGATTTGGCAATTTGAGATTGGGCTAAGAGAAGATTCTAAATTGGTTCTATAGGCATCAATAGAAAAGTTTTTCATATCTCGTTTCAATATTTTATCTTGATCTTGACCCCCTTTAAATTTTGAATCATAGACTGTGCAGAATTGTGGATAGTGATCACTGATGTCACTAAGAATAATGAAGCTCATTAGGTCAAATTTTATCGCATTTGTAAAAATATTGTCAATTAGTGTACTGGATGAACGAGTTACCCTTGTTGGCGAGGTAATTAAGGGCAGTGACAAATTTGCTAGGAGCATATCAATGTATTTCATGGTTGCCAGATCTGTTGTTGGACTTAGTAAATTTATGTTGAAATCTCCTAGTAAGATAAACAATTTCTTTTCTTTATTTAAATTTTCTAAACTGTTGGATAATTTTTCTGTAAATTTGGGAATGTCTTTTCGGGGATGTTTGTAAATTATTCCAATTATGAATGTAACAGTTGGACTCAGTTTAAGGTTTATCCACAAATCCTCACAGTCTGGGTGATTCAAATCATAATCCTGAGTTTCAGTGATGACTAAGCCTTGCTTCACATACAGTCCTACTCCACCAGCACTTGTTTTGGAGGGCTTATGAACAAACTCGTAGTTCTGTAAGGAGATGTTTGAGATTGGATTAATACCAAGTCTCGTTTCGGATATCGCAATGAGGTCAGGGGGGTAATAAACTCAGATAGTAAGTTCACTAAATTATCATGGTTTTTTTGAAGAGACCGAATATTTATATGAAATGCAATAAGACCGTTTTTTTTAAAAGATTTACTAGTTGTTTTTAAATTTGGCACTTCTACTTTTTTACATTCACATCTACTTATTTCATGCAAAATTTTAGAATTGAACGCAAGTGCACCATGAATCTGATTAGATGACTGATGGGGCAGTGATGCAACTGAGCACGGTTGGCAAAAATGGGAGCATTCAAGATGGAAATTGGACCCACATATCTCACAGGTTAGTTTTGGTTGGCACGATATTAGTAAGTTTTTACATGAATTACATGTTAGTTCGGTATTGATTAACTAGGAAAATAAATGAATAAAAGGTACACTCACATATAAGTTATTGAATTTTAGAAAGGTCATCTTCGTAACGAATGTTCAAAGAGTTTTTGATCTCAGCATTTTTCTTCACAAATACTCTCCCATTTGATGTCCAAATAAACTTATAGCCGCAGTTGTTTTTTGCAGCTCGTGCTCTAAAATACAAGTCCTTATTGAGGGCTGTCAGATTTTCAGCAATGAAAATTTTTGATGGATTACTGAAAATGGTATTCGGTGTCATTGAGCGTAGGAATTTTCGTTTTTCAAAGATTTTGATTTTGTTTTTCCGGTGTACAAATTTGGCGATTATAGCTGGAGATCTTGTTTCTTCCCCCGTTGTTGGCATCCTATGAGACACAGAAATATCAGTGGCTTTGATGTCGACACCTATCATCTTCGCAATGTTACAAACAATTTCATCTGTGTCCTCATTTTGTTTTACAGGAATCCCATGAAACTCAAGATTCTCCAGACGTCCCCTTCTCTCCTGATCTTCTACTTTTTCTGAGACATAGAACAAATCGTCTTCAAGATCATATATTCTTTCCAAGAGATTTTCAATTGTTTTTTTGTTTTCAATTGTTTGTTTTTCTAAAGTTTTATTTCTTTCTGCCAGATCATCATACATTTTGGTGTGGAATGTCTGACTTTCTTTAATTTCTGATAGTTCGGTTCTAATTTCCCTCATGGATTGGCCCAGATCATTAAGAATATCCTGAATGTCAAGTGTTATGGGGGTGAGGATGTCGGAGTTGCCTGAGTGTTCCAGGTTTTCCTCCAGACATTGACCTATCATTGCTGGCAGTTCTAAAGTTATTGCATTTATGATGTTCCTTGATATAACAGGCAATATTCCACTCACAATTTCATTGTATTGTGGCGAATCGGTCTTGGATATATATTCTTCAGATTGAGCCGTTCAGACTCGCCGTTCTCTCTATATACTTACCTTTTTAGCTGTTTTTGTGTTTTAAAATAGTCTGAAGTAAATTGGACAAATATGAACAATATTTTGCGGGACTGTGTTTTTTTATGGAATGGAAGGGATGAAGACATTTTGAACAATGAAGACTGATAAAAAAGAATTGTAATGCCCTGGTAGTCGAAGTGTCAGACTTAACAATGTTGATTGTTGAAGTTTGAAATATTGAGTTTGAATTTCTGATCAGATAAGGGTGAAAAAGTAAAAAAAAAACATGATAAAAATTTTTCATAGCTTGAAACTCTTTTTAGACCCTCAAGACTGTTAAAAACTCACGTTTTCGGGCATTACCAACTTTCATGACCTTTGACCGATGCTGCCAGCAACATAATTTGAGGGGACGCTTGCCTTACCGCGCCGTTTCAGACTACGCGCGGTTGCTATTCGTACCTTTTTCGAAAAGCCCGCTGTGTGTAAATGTTGCTTCAACAGTCTTTTTAATATTATAAATTTAAAACTGACTAACTTATGTTAAGTTGCATGTACAGTACTACGGTCTATTTGTCGGTAGGGTTGAGTACCTGTACGGTACCTGGCAGTGGTGCACCCGTACCGGTAATGCAGTACCGTAAGAGGACCGGATATCGTATCAAACCAGTCTATCGTGTACCTTAAAACACTGACATATTACGAAAAACCTACTTCAGTACAACGTCTCTCGGATCATCTACCGCCCAACCACATGCGAATACAAAGCAAAATAGCAGCGTCCCCTCAAAAAGTGGTCCTGGCAGCAGTCGTCACGCTCTGTTGAGTCGTATGAAAGTCGGTAATGGAGCCGATTCTGCTAGCTGTTATGGTCTAACTTGAAAAAGTTCAGAATCCCCTTCGAAAATTCCTGGCTACACTCCTGTCTCTGATCACCAATGCCGACCTAACATGTCTTTTTATAGCTTTTTGTTTATCAGCAGAGTTTTCGAATCCGTTCAGACTCTTTTCTTCCGAGTGAGTTATTTTATGAAACATTTTTCTTACTGTATTTGAACACTCAGCTACTTATTGGGACACGTTAGTGGACATTCAATATTATGTTGTTGTTCTTGTTATTCGTCATCATTATCCTTAAAAAATCGTTTTCCTCTTCGAATACTGGACCAATTGCTTTGAAATTTTTAAGTATAAGTTTATTTCGACTCCATAATTAGCAAAACAATATATTTGACAGATAAAAACAAATAAATAAAAACTGATTATGAACTCAGGGGAGCCAACGAAACCTTAGATGAGGTTTATAACGTACAAAATATAAGATGGAAGGTTTTGCCAAGAGGAAGTGATAGCCTACGTGTTTACTCACCTAAAATTATCAAGTTATTTCACACACGCTCACATGCACCCACCAGCCACACACACACACAGAGAAGTTATTGGACACGTAGTGGACATAACGATCGTTTCAAAATTTTGTTGTTATTGTTATTATTTGTCTTCATCAACACGTTTTGAAGAAATCGCTTTTTTCTTCGAATACTGGACCAATTGTTTCGAAATTTTCAGTGGTTGAAGATAAAAATTTTCTCCAGAGGGCTATTACTTTTTTTCCGCTATGACGTCATCAAAAATATGTGACTCTACGTGTCCATATATTTGAGCATGGCTCTCTTGTTTAGGTAAGAATAATACGCGATAAATTTATACTATACTGTAAACAAAAAAAAATTATTTTCCACACCCTATTGATAATTTTGTAATGGTTGCCATCAATGTTCCCTCTAATTTTTTGTAGTATGTGTGCGCAGAAATTATGGTGTGTGCGCACTTTTTTGGAAATGACTAATATTTGTGCAAAAACCAATGAAGAAATTTTGGCGTTCTAACCGGGTAATGGGTGGGCCAACAACAAACTTTCTCAACATGCCAACCGAGCACATTTTTACATTACATCGAAATACGTCTGTGCGCAGTAAATCTATGCGTGTGCGCAGCCTCTGAAAGCTGTGTGCACGCGCGCACACCTTAGAGGGAACACTGGTTGCCATTGCCAAATTGATCGATCTTCTAATCGTTAAAAAAAGTATAAGAGGAAGATTTTATTGAATACATATTGCCAAGCTGATTATAGTTGGAGTCAAATGCCAAGTTGCCCAACCAAAGTTCCCAGAATTGGGTGCATGAAGAGGTGGGAGCAATGACATTAAACAACATGATGCGCAACTCCGGCATTTTTGTCCGAAGATCGTATTCGATAGCACGCTCCAATGCACATACTTGACGAGACGAAAACGAGCGGATGTGTGCTGCTTTCAAGGCGTAGCACGAATGGTGTTCGTGCCTGCTTTGACAGTTGTTGTCGATTTTAATGATATTTTTGAAAGTTGGGGTAAAAAGAAATCGGTAAAAGGTAAGGTGAATACTATTGTTGTATATCACACCCGGGCATCGCACTGTTAAGTACATGTGGGAAAGCCAGCCTTTGTCAAATACTACGAAGTTATTAATTCAGTACGGTACGTAGTTGCCCATTTGCCGAAATTACATATTTACTTACCCCTTATGGTTTCAAATAGTTCATGCACCTCCAGTTAGATTTTTTTAATCAGTGAGGATATATACTCATTGTTGATTGCTGCTCATTGTAACATACTATTACGCATTCACTTTTATTTGCGTATTGAATCAAAGTGTTAACAAGTTCACCTAACATTTCACTCATACCGGTCTATATTGTATAGTCTGATTTCTCAAGTATTTGGAGCCACGAATGCTTGTAATTTTCTGACTAAACCCTTTTATTAGTTGGTTTATATACCAAATTCAGTAAAATATTTTTTAAATAAAACATGAGATATTGGATTTATTAGCTTTTCCATTCTGAATCATATAGACTGCTTTATTTATTCTTAACGAAAATTAATAAATCTCCTCTCTTTCTTCAGATGTGAAAGTTGTGGACAAACCTGTCTAAGCATTGTGAGACTCTTGCAGCACAAGAGGCAATAGCAGGAATAGTAAGTATATCAATCAAGAAATTAAGCTGACATAAAGCAAAACTTTCAACTATTCGTCTAATCTCAATTTCCTATTATTTATTCACAGGACAACTATAGCAGACGGGGAGATATCAGAAGTCTGGCGACATATCAGTGACAGTGTGATTCCAAGAAATATAATGCAATTGAAAATAGAAAATTGCAATAGAAAAACAACCTATGGAGGCATGCAAAGACATTTGACCCTCCGGTAGAGTTGTGTATGGCCTCCACATCCTGCAGGGCTTGAGGAAAATAACTAAAAATTCCAAAGCGTAAGATTGCTTAAGCGGTCTTATTTGTAAAAAGGCACAAAACACGCCAGACATACTTAAAACAGCTTTGGAAATGAGGATTACGGGTACCTCACTGCACCTGTGTTATATTTGGTTCATCAACTTTTGGTAGTACTATAGAAGAAATTCCGGAGGGGTATAATCATCATTCATGATAAAATACTATCATATATTTTTTGAACAACTTCAATCTAGACCAGGGATCTCAAACTCGCGGCCCCAGAGAACTTCCAGTGCGGCCCTCAAACGCTTAACAATAATTGTAATAGTATTTTGGAAGTTTTTTTTTTTATCTAAATGTAATAGATTTTTCAAACCTTCTAAAGTGAAATTGATTATTCACACAGAAAACAATTTACTGAAAGTAGTTTTGGAATATTGATTTTTTTTGTCCACATTTTGACCCAATTAAGAATACACATCAAGCTAGCAAAAGAATACTTGAATAAAACACTTGAGTAATTAAATTAAACGCAAAGTACATAAAGAAGGTGGCATTTTCGAAGAAAATGGGAGTTGTAACATTTCTGCTCTTCACAAAATTCAGAAGCACATTGTTTAATTTGTCATATTTCCATCAATACAATCAAAAAACACAATAAGCTCAGCAGTCAATATGACAAATTCGAAGACCAACTTCGAACAGAAAATTTCCATGTGTTTGTATATTAATATAATTACACAACGACTTAGTTACTAAAAATCAATATCAATAATAATTCAAGCAATCCTATGCCACGCAATGTAGTGCGAAATGTCTTGTCGAAAAAATCTGTCATTTGTTTTTTTACTGATCTATACATGAAATGATAAAAGTAACTTTTTTGCATTACTGGAATTAATTAAACATTCGTAAAGATCCAGATAAACCCATGATCATGTGGCCTCGTTAGTTAGAGTTGGTACTATAAAATCATTTCAGACTGGCCTTAGTATGCTGGTGACACAAAAAAGATGCCAAACGCCAGGACAAATGTAATTATTAAAACATTGAGTTTATACTGTAGTATTTTTGTTAATTTTAGGTTCATATATTTAGATTAAGTTATTTTTAGTGTATGTATTATTCTTTCCTTATTCAAAGCTTGTTCAAAAATGATTTTGATGGTTGTACATAGAATTTTACGATTTTTTATAATAAATACTGTAACTTGCAAATGTTGCAATAATAGTGGAATGCAAATATTAATATGTAATTGCATTTGAAATTGAAGAAAATAATAAAATTTAATCCAACTGTTTAGTTGCATCACAATATATGTCACAAACTAAAACTATCTTAAAAATATCTTTTAAGTATACATTATCAAAAACTGTTTGCGGCTCTTTTTACAATTTTCAAAATGCAATGCGGCTCTCGAAAACCCATGAGTTTGACACCACTGATCTATTCTAGACGATTCAAGCATTGCTTTGGGAAATTATATCACTTCAATTAAATTGAAATAATTTCGCTATATTAAATACA